AAGGAGGTGGAAACTGATTGGAAGCGGGATTTGGATACTGGGGAGTTTTTGATAGAGGTCAAAGGATTGGGAGTTTAAGGGGCACGAAAAAAATATATGATCTAAAGTTCCCTCGTCAAGGCCGCATTCGCACAGTGAGCTGTCGCGGACGCGGATCTTGTTGAGGAAGTTGTTACGAGCTTGTGGCACCGACTTTTAAGCTATCAGTGGGTAGGCAGAATTAAGAATAACAGTTATTTTTTTGTTTTTAGTTTATGGTTTTTGAAGTAGGTTTTTTAAACGCAGTTTTATTTTTATTTTTTGGTTTTTTGTTTAATAAATACTGGTAAATAGTGAAAACATAAGTGAAATTCACCTTATCACCAGATTTCACCAGTTTTGTCTCCTATAATCAGGTCTACCAAATAGCCTCAAAGAATATTATTCTCGATCCATATGTAGGTATACTTTTGAAAGACTTTTATTTGAACTCCTGACTATTGAGGAGTTGTACCTTCCATCATCATCTCTTCGCTTTATAAAATTGTCAGAATAAACATAATAAGTGCTTATAATTTGAGAGTTGCCTCGGATTTCTGTGGGAGATCATCAGGTGATCACGATGTAGCAACAGTACAAACTTAAAAGTGTACCTTGACGAACAAAAAAAGAATCACTCTATTCGGATCAGAAATATTTAAGTAATCGATGTACAAATCTACGAAGTATAGTGAAAATGATATCTTTCACATAGGTACTTATAATGCTCATAAAATATAAACTGCTCAATAACCCCTATACTTATTACCCCTATACTCTTTGTGCTCAACCAATCGGAGACACTTTTTTTTAGGACAAAATTTCAGCTATTCTGCGTTCGACAAAAAAAGGATCACTCATATCAGTGTATAAACCTCGACGTAACCGGTTTGCATACATTAAAAAAAAACATACCTACCGACCGAATTATACCTCATTTCTCTTATTCCTTCAGCGTTTATCAAAAAACATACCTACTTAGGTAGGTAATATAACGTTTATTACAAATTCACAATGTAAAATTTATGATTTGAACAAAATTGGTCCACCTTAAAAAAACGATATATCTAGAGGTTAAAGTAGTACTCTCGAATACACAGAATTTCTCTTTTCACGTACATACGTCTTTGTCGTTGTATTTTAAGCTTTTACTTTGAGAGTTTTGTCATTTCCAGGGTCTGTATAATAATGGAGCTTTTCATGGACGTACATTAGGATCATTGGCGACTACGAGGTCGAAAGCTATTCATAAACTGGACTTCCCAAGTTTTGAATGGCCAGTTGCTAGATTTCCAGAATACAGATATCCGTTGGAAGAGTTTAAATGTGAAAATGAACAGCAAGACAAAGAGTAAGACATTTTTATATCATTTTATTAAAAATTACTGGTTCAAGGTCATCGCTCACCTAACAAGCACGGCTCCGGCACGGCTCCAACCCAGAAATGTCATTGCCATTTAGATATGAACTTCAAATCGTAAGCCATATGACATGGAAGTTTCGGGAGGTACCTGTGTCTGATGGGGCGGGAGGAAACGCCCGGGTGTCATCACTGCGAGGACCGCCCTGAGGACACGGTGGAACACACCGTTGCGGAATGCCCTGCGTGGGCTGAGCACCGCCGTGCCCTCAGGGAAGTGATCGGCGATGGCGACCTCTCGCGTCCGGGCCTAGTGCAGGCCATGATGCGGAGCGAGGGGGACTGGGATGCCGTCTCCTCCTTTTGCGAAGCAGTCATGCTAGTTAAGGAGGAGGCGGGACGCGTGAGGCAGCGAAGCGCTGCCTCCTCGCAACCCAGCCATCGCGAAGGACACACCGGGCGTCGGGGATCGCGGGACGATCTCCGGCCACCGTAAGCGCGGGCCTGCGGACGGCGAGCATGGGTGGCTCCCCGTCCGACCAGAAACAGACCCGAGCGTACGGCGCGTCGCGTTCCGCGCGCGCCTCAAAGAGCCATCAGACCATCACAGATGGGGCTCATTAGGGCCGATGCCGATTCGGAGTCGCGGAGAACCTAACGGGTAACCGGGGCTCCGGCTCGACGTGCAGGAGAAGGAACGGGGTGGTTTTAGTCAGTAAGAGTCTGACACTCCCTTCCGCCTCACCCAGGCGGGAGCAGTCATTCGATGATTTTCCCCCTTTAAAAAAAAAAATGCCATATGACATATTTCATAACGTCAATATAAAAATCATGTAATTTTGCGTTGTTTCCAAAGCAAAAAACGCCGTGTCCGAACCGTGTTTGAGTCGTGCCGGAGCCGTGCTTTAGCCGTGTCGGAGCCGTGTTTAATAGTTGTGGGATGACATTTAAGCGTTTAATCGGTCGTGCATATCGATATTTTAAAAATTAAAACTGCTTTTTAAAAAAACCGACTTCATAAAACCCAAAACTATAAATAAACAAAAAGTAAAAACTAAACAGGAAAATTTAACTATTATTAGTACTAATAGGTTACCCACTCACTGATAGGTTAGAAGTCGGCGCCATAACTTCTAAACAAATAATCATTAAAACATTAATGGATACTACCTAATGGATGGAACCTAATATTAAGCTGTTTACAATTTTTGACCATAAGCTAAATCATTTTGATATGAGCTTATGGCACCGACTTCTAACCTATCAGTACTAATAATAGTTATTTTTTGCTTTTAGTTAGTAATGTGCGAACAAACAAAAAAGAAACAATCAGCCGAACATAGTATCTCCTTTTTTTTTTGAAGTCGGGAAAAAAACTGTCGAGTTGACAACATCCTCCTTTTTTTGAAGTCGGTTGAAAATACATTTTGTAGCGGGCTTGTGGCACCGACTTTTAAGCTATTATGGTAGGCAGAATATAGAATAACAGTTATTTTTTCTTTGTTTTTAAATATTTAAATCCTAATTGAAAAACGTAATAGATGCATTTCTCCCCCCTACAATTTTCGAAAGTTCCCCTCAATATCTCCGGTGTTCCATCATCAGATCCTGATTTTCTTATCATGGACCATTCTGGGACTATCTACGTTCCAAAACAAATGATCAAAATCAGCTTATAAATAACGGAGATATCGGCGAACAAACATAAAAAGCATAAACTACTCTGTCCAAAAAGTACCGGGAAAAGATCAATAATACACAAAATGTCTGTTATTCATCCAAATTTATTTTATCACCTTCTAAGTATGCTCCTTGAGAAACGATACACTTGCGCCAACGAATAATCCATTCATCAAAACATTTTTAAAACGCTGCTTCCTGAATTGAGTTCAGTTCTCGCCGCGAATTCTCCTTTATGTCTTCTATCGATTGAAAACGGGTGCCACGAAGTGGTAATTTGAGTTTAGAAAAAGAAAAAATGAGCAGGAGCCATATCTGGTGAATATGGTGGTTGCTGGATGGTATTTGTTGAGTATTTGGTCAAAAATTCGTTCACAGTGATAGCCTTGTGCGAAGGCGTATTGTCGTGTTGCAAAATCCAAGAATTTTCTTTCTACAAATCTGGCCTTTTTCGTCGAATTTGCTCTCTTAAACGCCGCATCAACGCATGCTCAAATAATATTCTTTATTTACCGTTAGACCTTCCGGTAAGAATTCAGAGTGCACAACACCGCGATAGTCAAAGAAAACAGTCAACATGACTTTGACTTTGGAATACCTTTTTAGGTGTCTCGCACATGTTGAAGAACAATTTGACAGGTGGGAAAAGAAAAGGCCTATCGCTGGCGTTATCATTGAACCCATTCAGGCGGAAGGCGGTGATATCCATGCTTCACCGGAGTTTTTCCAAGAATTGCAAAAAATATGTAAACGCGTAGGTTTTGTTCATTAATTATTGTTGAACGTCTGGTAGCTACTACTTTACACTTTTTATCTTTGTTTGTTCTAGTTTATTGTTACAAGCTTTTATTTAAATTTGATAGACTAGGTACGTTGATCGAACGTACCTAGTCTATCAAATCGTCGACTCACAACGATATGTGCATTATATCGTTATGTGTCTAATTGTACTAACATAATAACTACATTTCTTTTTGTTAATGCTACAGAGAGGAGCAGCTTTGATCTTGGATGAAGTCCAGACTGGATGTGGACCGACAGGCAAAATGTGGTGTCACGAACATTTCAACTTGCCATCACCACCTGACTTGGTCACATTCAGCAAGAAAATGTTGACTGGAGGATTTTATTTCAAGCCGGAATATCTGTAAGTTTTAGTTACACTATTTGTGAACTAAAATAATCTAGATACTAGCTATACTAAATAGCTACTTCAATTTTGTTTCTATACGTAGATGAAACTGCATTTATTCGTAAGTAAAGTGTTAGTATTCTTAACTAATTCTTTTATCAGGCCACCGCAACCGTTAAGGATTTTCAACACGTGGATGGGAGATCCATCGAAGCTGATTATGTTGGAACAAGTTATCAAAATCATTAAAAGTCAAAATCTTCTACAATTAGTCGAACAGACCGGAAAGGTCCTTAAATGTGGTCTGCACTGTCTAGAAACCGAATTTTGCTCCATGATAAACAGTGTACGTGGTAGAGGCACATTTTTGGCATTCGACGCCTCCACACCGGAATTAAGGGATAACATTATCAAAACTTTGAAACAAAATGGTAAGTTATTTTAAGATAAATTTTATTTAATGTTATCTTCACGATGGTACGTTTGTAGGTACCTTATTAGTAAACGAATTTTAAGCTCGGATACAAAAAGATGATTGATTATAATAGAGGTATAAGAGTATCTGCGTCGCGTCGCGTCGTATCATCGAAAGTGATTCTCGATCAATTTTAATTTATTGTTTGTATTGTCCGGTATTCGTTTGTTCGGAATTCGGCGTGAGATTGTCACAATGTCACATCACAGGTCTGCTCGGCTATTCCGTAAGATGTCAGTTCTAACTCTCGAAGTGAGCGTGAGGCAAAGTATCGCCAAGACAGTAATGGTAATGGATCTGATACTACAATCTATATTATCTTCACTTATTTACAGGTGTGCTCGGAGGTGCGTGTGGAATATGTACAATTCGTCTTCGACCGGCTCTTATTTTCAGACCGAAACACGCTGAACTCTTTTTGGAAATACTCAGGAACACTTTGAGGCAACTGATGTAAGATGACTAGTAAAATTTAATTAAATTATTTCAGTAATTTTGTTGTGTAAATTACGTATAAATCTGCAATATCTATTCATATTTCCTTGTGAGAATCAGAGATTACTTATACATAGAAAATATAATTAGATATCTAAGTATTACTTAGGTATATTTTATGCACGTACGTTATTTTTATTTTATATAAGTTTTTTGTTTCTGCCTACGTACCTTTTTATTTTATTTCAATTAAGTAGCTAATCCAAAGTATTATGAATCAGGTACCTCTACCCATATTACATTTAATTTAGCTTTAGCGCTGTAAATTTTATTTCGATGCTACTGTAAAAATAAAGAATTCATTGCAATACGACTTTAACTACATAAGACAATACCCATATGTGTGTTGATTATTTAACCAACGATTATTGTATTCAACGGAACCTTAATTATATATGTTTCTCCAATTGAAATATCATCGGAGCGCATTTATTATGTATAACGGCATCGATATGAAGATTTCAGTAGTTTTTAGTTTAATTTCAACCTGGTTAGCATTTATTTATTAACTTTGACTTATTTTCTTTATTTAACAGGTCTTGCCGTTGTTGACAGAATTCTGTGACCTAACCTGGACTAGATTTTATTTCTCTTTAAGTTTGGCTGATTAAGTGCCTAGTGCATGTTAACATCAAGGGCAGTAGGTACTCTAATCATTGTATTATGCTCAAATGGCTACCACGAATGGAAGTAATAGATGTGGTCTTAACTCTTTAAATCACAATAAATCATAGATACAGTTCGTAAACAATTTGCAGGGATTCTGAAAATATCTTAAGTATGAAAATAGATGAAACAATGAATCATGTAGGGAAAAAGTATGTGAACGTCTTACATTTAAGATTAAATTCCTAAACTGAATACATATGACTGATTGATGTCTTCCAAATAATTATAATAAAAACCGGATTGAATCTATTCTAATGTGGCTTTTTATTTAATTCTCACACACGTTAAAGTTTAACACGCAAATAAAATTTATACATGAACTTACAGTTATGGTTTGATAAGATACAAAATAAATTAAGAACGCAGAATGAAATCACTATTTGTCGTTTGCAAGTCATGACCTTAACAAAATGTATCAATCTTACTGCGACATATGTACCAAAACAGCAACGAACACTGTTTCACCAGCTAGCATCACGTCTCACAGCAACGAGATGAAGGGAGGTGTAATAAGTCAATTGCATCGTATTTATTACGTTAGTTAACTTGGGCCTGCGATTATATGTATAATATCTGTATAAAGCGATTAATTTATGGTATTTACTTAACAATTTGAATATTATGTATAATGACTAGTAATTGTGTAAAATAGCTAATTAATCACTATAACTGCAACATAAATATTTCAAAACAATTTTCATGTAATGCGTTTCTAAAACAAAACCGAATAGCACGCATTGTCAAAATGTAACCAGATTTCATGTAGAGACAAATTTATAACCCTAGTTACCCATTCCTAAACCTATAAGCCTTAATTTGCACTTAGCTGCAGCGAAACACTATAGATAGAGATTGCTCTGTAGTGCCTGTAGTGCGTAGCCCGTGGTTCGTAGACCCTTAGTGCGTAGCCCGTAGTGCGTAGCAGGTAGTGCGTAGCCGGTAGTGCGTAGCCGGTAGTGCGTAGCCCGTAGTGCGTAGCCGTAGTACGTAGCCTGTAGTGCGTAACCTGTAGTGTGTAACCCGTAGTGCATAGCCCTTAGTACGTAGCTTGTAGTGCGTAGCTCGTAGTGCGTAGCCCGTAGTGCGGAGTCTGTAGTGCGTAACCTGTAGTGTGTAGCCCGTAGTGCATAGCCCGTAGTGCGTAGCCCGTAGTGCGTAACTTGTAGTGCGTAGCTTGTAGTGCGTAGCTTGTAGTGAGTAGCCCGTAGTGCGCTGCGTAACCTGGGAGCTTACTCTTGTATCAAATTCTGATCGATCGACATTGGTATTGTGAAATTTCGTACTCTTGAGTTGTAACACTAGCGCCCATTGCATCCGTATTGCGTGGATATTGAATTAACTAAATAGTATCGAGTTTGGTTTTCTATTCCGTACCCTGAATGCTATTTTAACAGCTACGATAGGGGTTGGATAGTTTGACATTGAATAATTATTGAGATTTATTGGATTGAAATTACATTGAAATTGAAATTGGTTTCAAGAATAAGCACCCAGTAGTGCAAAGCGCGTGGCTTGTTGTTCGTAGCGCAAGGTTCGTGGCTCGTAGCTTGAAGTTCGTACCGCATAGCTCGTCTCGTGCAGGTTGAGACTAGTAGCACGTGGTTTGTAGCCGTAGTTTGTAGCGTACAGTTCGTAGCTCGTAATTTAGACTTTTATTTTATTATTCATTTAAGTTCTTAATTAGGTTGTTTTATAAATTAAAATTATGGCTCTCGTTTTTATTTACGTCATTGGCGTTGGAAAGGCTGGCCAGTAGCGTTTTCGCTCTATTGTTATCGTGGGTGCGTAGACTCTGGACTTAACTGGCGAGTCAGCCACGTAGAAAGACTTTACAAGTTCTACTTTGCAAATCTATATGACGCAACATACGTGACGTAAGTTTTCCTTATGCTCTTACTTACTTATTTATTTTTATTTATTTATTTATTTATAATTCATGGAGGACTTACAGCTTATAAAAATGGATAAAAATAACAATAGGCGTAGGTAACAATGAGCCAATAACAAGTCCTCACGTTACAGATTTTGTTTGTACGTGATGATGAAAATATTTCGACAAAAGCTCATCGAATTGAATCAGTAATTACTTATTATCATAATAATACATATAATGTTAGTTTTTGTACGTGCATTTCTTTTGAAAATATCAAGTCAATAAAACCGATCCGAATTGAATACATTTTTACTGAGATAAATTAGGTATTTAAAGGTATAATACACATATAAGAGTCTATCACGTGACTTAAATAGTTAAAATTAAGTAAATAATTAAATTCGTGAGTAAGCTAGCGGCATGCTGCTAAGACCTATGAAGTACGCGCTACAAGCTACGACTTTATAGAGGTATAGTATTTCACTTTAGTGTAAAATTATGGTTTCTTTTAGGGCTTGGTATGTAGGATGCCAAACATGGGCCCTAACTCACCAACTAGATAATAATAATATAAAAACTGCGTTTAAAAACCGACTTCAGAAAACCAAAAACTATTATAAGTATTGATACGTTACCCACTACCCACTCACTGATTGGTCGAAAGTCTGTGCCTCATATCATTAATTAACATAAAATTTATATCGTTTTTAATCAAAAAAGAAAATTATTAAACTGTAATGAACGGACAATATTATTACGAAAAAAATTTCAGGAATTCAATTAAAGCTCTTCTATTTTTTATTATTATTCATTCTCTTCTAGCTCGAGAATGCGCGACAGACTGTTGCGTAACATGTTGCACTACTTGCACTTACGATTTCCGCACTGAGTAAAGGGAATAAAAAATAATTTAACTATTATCTATACAGATAAATAAAATTGGAGTATCCAGGCCCGCCGCTAGCTTTCGAGCGCCCGCGTGCAAATACCGAATATGCCACCCCCTTTTTGTTGGATGGGTAAAAAGTCATCAAATGACTCTTAAGGAAGTGACTCTTACAACTCTTACTAACTAAAAACGACCCCATTCCTTCCAACACTTGCTCAAAGCCAGGGCTTCAGTACCCGTATGCTACATACCCACCAACAAGGCAACAACCCTGGTGGGCCACGTCTATGGTCTGATGGCACTTTGAGGCCCGCCTCTTACGCGACGCGCCATACGCTATCCTTGCTTGCCGTCCGCAGACTCGCGCTTACGGCGGCGCGGGCGGAGATCCCGACATCGCGACGCGATACTACACCCAAAGCGTCTCCTGTTACCTCCGGAAAATGTTAGAGGATACACGATAGATTTCGAGTTACTCTCGAAAGTTTACGAGGGCGCTCCATAGTTTACGAGTATTTCTCGAAAGTGTTCGAGGACGCTCGATAGTTTTCGAGTAACACTCGTAAGTGGTCGAGGACACTCGATAGTTTTCGAGTAACTCTCGGAAGTGTTCGAGGACACTCAAAAGTGTTCGGGGACGCTCGATAGTTTTCGAGGGCGCTCGAAAGTGTACGGGGACGCTCGATTAATTTCGAAACCACTCGATTGATTTCGGGGACGCTCGAAACTGTTCGAGGACGCTCGATAGTTTTCGAGGACGCTCGGTAGTGTACGAGGACCCTCGATTGTTTTCGAGGACACTCAATAATTTTCGAGGACGCTCGAAAGTTTTCGAGGACGCTTGAAAGTGTTCGAGGACGCTCGACTGATTTCGAGGACACTCGATTGATTTCGAGGACGCCCGATAGTTTTCGAGGACGCCCAAAAGTGTTCGAGGACGCTCGATTGATTTCGGGGACGCTCGAAAGCGTTCGAGGACGCTCGATAGTTTTCGAGAACGCTCGAAAGTGTACGAGGTCGTTCCACTGATTTCGAGGACGCTCGATTGATTTCGAGGACGCCCGATAGTTTTCGAAGAAGCTCGATAGTTTTCGAAGACGTTCGAAAGTGTTTGAGGATGCTCGATAGTTTTCGAGGACGCTCGATTGATTTCGGGGACGCTCGAAAGTGTTTGGGGAAGCTCGATAGTTTTCGAGGACGCTCGAAAGTATTCGAGGACGCTCGACTGATTTCGAGGACGCTCGATTGATTTCGGGGACGCCCGATAGTTTTCGAGGACGCTAGAAAGTGTTCGAGGACGCTCGACTGGTTTCGAGGACGCTCGATTGATTTCGAGGACGCACGATAGTTTTCGAGGACGCTCGCAAGTGTTCGAGGACGCTCGACTGATTTCGAGGACGCTCGATTGATTTCGAGGACGCCCGATAGTTTTCGAGGACTCTCGAAAGTGTTCGAGGACGCTCGAAAGTGTTCGAGGACGTTCGATAGTTTTCGAGGACGCTCGATTGATTTCGGGGACGCTCGAAAGTGTTCGAGGACGCTCGATAGTTTTCGAGGACGATCGAAAGTGTTCGAGGACGCCCGATAGTTTTCGAGAACGCTCGATAGTTTTCGAGGACGCTCGAAAGTGTTCGAGGACGCTCGATAATTTTCGAGGACGCTCGATTGATTTCGGGGACGCTCGAAAGTTTTCGAGGACGCTCGAAAGTGTTCGAGGACGCTCGACTGGTTTCGAGGACGCTCGATTGATTTCGAGGACGCACGATAGTTTTCGAGGACGCTCGCAAGTGTTCGAGGACGCTCGATAGTTTTCGAGGACGCTCGATTGATTTCGGGGACGCTCGAAAGTTTTCGAGGACGCTTGAAAGTGTTCGAGGACGCTCGACTGATTTCGAGGACGCTCGATTGATTTCGAGGACGCTCGATAGTTTTCGAGGACGCTCGATTGATTTCGGGGACGCTCGGAAGTTTTCGAGGACGCTCGAAAGTGTTCGAGGACGCTCGATAGTTTTCGAGGACGCTCGATAGTTTTCGAGGACGCTCGATTGATTTCGAGGACGCTCGAAAGTGTTCGAGGACGCTCGATAGATTTCGAGGACGCTCGGAAGTGTTCGAGGACGC